ATAATGAATATTTGATTTTATGAATATTTTTCATTTAAAGCACCAAATAAGACGAGAGACATGCTTTAAACTAAAAGCCACATTCGCAACCAACAGTTGTACGCTGAAGAGGAAAAACATCAGAGCTTTGGGTCCTGAATGAAAATGTCCTTTAAGTAACACTAAGCTAAGAGAAAGCAGAATTCCTTGTTTGACTCACTCAACTGAGCGAGTCAAGTAGAGATGGAAGTGGCTCCTGTCTCACCGGCTTTTTCTCGACATACTCTTCTATGAATTATGGATATTATGTTTAAAAAAACAAAAACATTTCAGCACACGCAACTACATATCTATACTGTAAAGGCCTCAGTGTGGCCTACACAAAGGGCTTGTCTAATAGTCTCACCATATCTGAAACCGCCTTTCTGTCAGAGGAATTGGAGGGAACTTGGTTACATTTTTCCAGGTGTGCACAGGTTAGAAAGTAGGCAGAGTTTGGGCTTCTCTCTCAAGCTCTCTCTTTTCATCCTGCACACAACTGTTTTTTTATCACTATGAATCCCTTTAACAAGAGACCATTCTCCCCACTTGAAAGATTCAATCTGCCTCATCCCTCTGTACTCAACTTGGCCATTTAGACCAGCTTTAGACACTTTTACCCTGTTCAGAATGAAAGCAAATCAATCTTCACCTTGCATTATTTGCACAGATCTGACCCTGTGCAGTCTGTGTTTATTCACTGCAGCCGATGTCGTGACTATAAGGGCTAGAAACAGAGGCACGGATCGTGTCTGTGTTTGTGTTCTGCTAAGCCTCTGACTGATCTCAGAACTCGCCAGGATCTCCAGTTCTTGCTGCCACTTTACCTCCTCTCTCCGTTTTCCTCTCATCTCTGCACATTCATGAAGTAGAGTCACGATGCCCCCGGGGTAGGTGCAAATGTTGCGCTCTAGTTGAAACATTTACTACTTGCATGATGTGTCTATGCTTCAGTTCCCTCCTCCCTGGGCAAATCTGCATCTAATCACACACACTTGCAAGTGTCCCAATACACCAGCCCAGGATCTCTAAGAATTAGGTCTATGTTGGACAATTGCTGATGCAGGACTGGAGTTCATATCTGTGATTAACCTTCATATTTTGGTTGCACATAAAATCTATGGTTAGATTTAGTTTAATTAAAAGTATTTTCTAAAGGCCATAGCCCACAATATTCTCCAACAAACACAGACGTTTGTTTGGTGTTCCATGACTGTCTGTCCTTGTTTGGTCAGATTTTACATGTTCAATCCGTGTTTGTGTCTGTTTTTAGGAAGTTTGGTCAGTAAGCCTATAGTACTCGTATCCATAGAAACGCAGCTTGCGCATGCCCAGTATTAGCAGTAAATGAGAGATATTATAGTCCCTATAATTAGTATTTTGACGTCTTATAAGTGATGTAACCTTTTCCAACAGCCTGTAGTACTGCTCTGGTGCGACTCCAGGTTAAATTACAAAATCAGATCGGTCTTCATTTTCCAGCTCACAACAAAGACGAAGAGCTCCCGTGTTGCCTTCTTAATAAAGACTGCTTACTCCCATGGATGTAAATAATACATCCATGCTTGCTTCAGATTTTCTTCCAATATATCTTCTGTGTTTGAGGAACACAGTCCAAGAAGTGTCTCTAAATCACAGCAGATCTCCTCTTCATTCTCAATTTTGAGGTCATTTTTGAAAAACAGAGTTTGATCTGTTAAGTTAATTTAGTTTGGATTTGTTTGTTTGACCAATCAAAGCCTTAACCATACCACAGTCAGATACTGAAGAAAGCAACATTTTTGAAATCGTTGGCCATTGATCATGGATGAAAACAAATTCATGTTTCAGAGTTTTACAGAACTATCCAATACTGATGTGGTAGTCTGGTGATAAAGTTGGATACAAATATATTGGATCTTTTTCAGCTATGTTGATACTGACTACTGAAAACAACTTAGTACTACACTTGAGATTTTTAAACAATTGATTTTTGTTTTCACGCTAAAATGCCAAACACTACATCAGTTCCAACTTCTGCTTATGTTTTATGTAATTGTAAACTGAATATCTTTGAGTTTTGGACTGTGCGTTATGGACTGAGCAATTATTGAAAAACAAATTAATTGATGATAAGGCAGGGTAAAAACTCACTACAGACCAAAATAAGCATTTACGGTCAGGAAATGTGGCAACCTAGCTTAGCCTGCTGCCACTATGACCTGCACCCAAATACACAACTGAAAACAGATAGATGGAAGGTCTGGAAATGTGGCTGTTTGGAAAGTGTTTGCATGTCCAGATCACATCTCTAAACCAAACATATTGCTTGGCTGCAGCTCCTCACGGGGTTGAGTTGAAAAGCCAGTGCATCTAAAGTTCAAGTACCTTTGATTTAACACCGTGACCGCTGAGACGTAAAGAAACATTAAGAACTTTATGACGCCACGCTGCCGCCCTCCCCTCTACACATGAGCCAATGTCACCTCTCTTCCTTCCAGAGCAGGCCATCCTAACTGATGCTGTAATGAGCTGCTGTTTGTTTGGCTACAGGCTGTCTCAGATGAGACACGATGCTGTCACTCAGATTTCATGGCAGCAGTCCCTTTGGCACTGAATCACTATCCGAGTCCCTCACAGCCCCACATTTGATCGAAGGCAAGTTCTCAAACAATTTCTGCGTTATCTCTGGTGTAAAATTTCCTTATCCTGGGTTTATTTCTTCTTTTATATTACCGTTGTTAAACGTTTACTTAGCCAGAACATACTCTTCTTTACACCAATGACTGGGGTAGTTAACTTTGAGGGAGGATACGTTACACATGAATCTTTTGCCAAACCCCACATCTACCATCATTATGTGCTTTTGGCCGCTTTGCTGGAGCAGTTGGGGGCTAAGTGCCATGCTCAAGGGCACATAAATCATAGGTTTTGACACTCAACAAGACTGACTGGAGCTGTACAGTGGTCTGAGTGTTTAATGTGTTCAATTAGAAGTTAAAAATACCACATTCAGGCTTTTTTTTAAGGTGTAAACAAGTTTTGTGGCTTCTGTATAATTAAACACTTTACATTGATAAACTAATCAGTCATTATTTCAACATTTCTACGCAGATATTCTGGCAAAGAGTGTTGTGACATGATATAATGTTTTGGATTTACACTCTGCTGCCTACACAGCCTTGCCCTAATTCATGATGTCAAATTTCATCTGTGGAGGCTTTTAACTGTACCCATTTATTACATAAACACCTGTGAGGTAAACAGCTAAACATGTCAATCTAAAAAGACAAGTTTACACCCAGTTGTTACAATGTTTACTGCTGCTCGAGAGTGCAGAAAACCAGTGATGTAAAGACCAAACCACGAAAACTGAATTATAAGGGACATTTCAATCCCCTAACAGCCAAGGTGTTGAAGTGTCCTCAAGCCAGAGCTGAACTGATTCCAACAGCAGCGAGGCAACAGCTGGTTCCTATTAAATGTTCCTCATTACACTGTAAATAGGTGAAGTAGAGACCAAGCAGCATCGGATTGAATTTGTTCATTCCGTATGTACTTACGGGTAAGCAGTAAATATACTAATGTCCTCCTAAACACTACTAGTGTCATGGTATTTCAGCGGGAGGACACGTCACTCCTGGTCTGCTGGTCTCTGTGTCCTTGAGAGCACGATGGTGCAATGAAGCTTTATTAGATGTCCCCTGATAGATCTGGTCTGAGGTAGAATCCATGTCTCCAGTAAGATGGATAATGTTTGGCTGCTACTCAAGAGGGAGGGTCCTCCGGGTATCTATCACTGGAGGTGACTGAGTGTCAAATAAAAAAGCAGTGCTGGGTAATTTTACAGGATGAAAGTCAATACAGTCAATACAGGCAATCATCTAAGGGACGCCTCTCGCCTTTCCTAAAGCTACTCACTGGTACAGTGAGTGCACTGGTACAACGGTCCTGGCCAAATGATTTTCAACCTGCTCAGAAGGGACACTGGGGCTGAATTTGGCACATGTACAGCCAGAACGTAGTGAGTTTTTTTAATTTAATCAGTCATTCAAAGGAAGAGTTTGACATTTGAGTTTATAAATCTACTTTTGCAAAGACGTTTACTTAAAAAATGATGTAAGAAAAATCACTGTAAATTATAACAATAGTCTATTTTCATGTATCATTTATAATGATTTTCATCATTGTTTAATATGAGGATGAATCATTAATCATTTGGTCTGTAAATGTGTGAAAAAAAGGCTGCAAATCCTCACTTTAGAGAAGCTGGAATCAGTCATCGTTTTCCTTAATATTTGCTTGAAGAAGAACTGACTATAAATAAATAGATTTTCAAAACTGTTGCTGACTCACTTTCTGTTCATCAATTAATCAATTATTTCAGTTTTAAATTACATAACTAAAAACTTAACAAATGAGAATCTGGAACTAGGGAATGATGAATATAAAAATAGTTGCTGATAAATGTATTCACAACAGATCCAAGCAACTTAAAATTCACACTATGACTTATATTTTCTGATATGACCTCAGACCACTGACAGTGTGGAATATTTGACTGAAATAATTTACATAGAACGTTTTTCCCAATTTCAGTGATATGTTGTCTGAAAACTCAAAATTCAACCTTATTGTAGCACAATCACCACTGTTGGTTTGAGTTTCACCCTAAAAGATGACAGGGATAAGAAGCCCAGACTTACTTTCATGTTCCCAATTTTGAGTGGGCAAAACAGGAAGGAAAAAGGGAGCAAACCAGCCTTTGATTTATATTCAAATGAGAAGTATACAGGGGAAATTGGATTTCTCTTTCATTTCAGAGAATGAATTTCCTGGTGGCAGATTGTATTGTATCATCTCATGGCGTTAATATCCAGCTCTGAGCATCAGAAGCTATTCTTCATTACAAAGACTCGGAGGAATTTTTACACCTCTTCGCCACAGAATGCAATGACAATTTCCATTTCTGTTCCAATGTTCAAACAATACACCCAAGGCCATTTAAGACATTTTTCAGCCGTTTTAATTTACACATGAAAGGCAATAACATATCAAAGGAATTCTGCTTTAAATTCAAAAGAAAAATTAGTCTCTGCATTGTGTCCCTTATGTCAACGAACCCGACTAATTCTGTACCTCAAAGCAAGCCAGCCGCAGGAGGATCCTTTTGTGGGTGTAACTGAGTTCAGCATGTTTTCATACGGCTGAAAAATTCAACAACCTACACACCGTTCTCATTAGGCAGCTCATCATGGGAAAAAACACCAGCACTAAATCCAGAGAGGAGCCGCTCCCCATTAACAGTAAGCCCTTTCTAGGCCGAACTCCTTATTCTAAATTTGGTCTTTTGTTTGATATAGACATGTAATGCCCAAGCCATACGCCCGGCCTCAAGGCTACTGTTACGTTGCTAGTGCCACAAACAAAAGAAACACAGACTGGAAAGAGGGAATTATCAGAAAAAGTATCAGAGTTTGATAAAGTAGTATTTCCCAAAATGGGTGCTATTGTATCCTTGGACAGTGGCTCTCAAAATGGGAAATATATTATTTATTTAGCCAAATGAGAGAATGTGCAAGAATGATTATTCTGTTCAGAGGTTTCACACGTCATTTTTAATCTGAAAACCTATAGTATTACAGTTATGGAAAAACTAAATCTTATCAGAGACTACATCATATCTAATATGGGTCCAGGGCCTGATGTGTCTCATTTTGGGGGCCCTTAACACCTATAAGGGTAAGAACCACTGACCAAGGGTGCCGCAATATTACCTAATTTCTAAGACGTTTGGTAACCACTGTAATCTCTGTAGTGGAAGAGGGTGGCACATGTACTGTAGATAAAATGACATGGTCAGATGAGATAAGGCTACCTGAAGCTCTAGTAGAAGTAATGGAAAGGTTTCATTGTCCATTCCCATTCATTCATTCAGTCAGTCAGTCAGTGTGTGAACAGAAACAACCCTTTTGCCCAAGTATCCTTCAGCATGACACTCAACTTCTGACATACTCTGTGAAACTGTTTTGGGACTTTCAACCTTAAAATGTGTGCGTTGAAGCCACAGACTGTGCTGAGTTATCTCTGGCACCACCCGGTGGACGTACACAAGCCCACACTGAAACGGCAACAAAAATAACAGTTTCTCCTTTTTTGTCTTATTCTTTATTGCCACACTGAACACTGATTAGGTAAAGTGTTTGTTTACCCAAATATTCAGCCATGCGAATAGTTAATTTTATTTGCCCAAGTTCTGTGACATCTGCCTCTGAGACTTCTGTTGTCACCAAATATAATATAGATGAATGTAACTGTGTTTGTGGTGCTTACAACATTGAAAAGTTATATTAACAATTCAGTCTTTCAGAAGCAATGTCCTGGTTACTTTTTCCATAACAAATAGTCTATATTTCAATCATTGACAGGGTGTTTTGTTGACTATCCCAACTGTCAACACCAAGAATATAACTGAACTGTGGAAGTGACAGATTTGTCAAGACCTGGACAAATAAAACCTATGTGCACAGACAGATAGCTATAGAGGTAAGGTTTTTGAAGCATTTGGGTGAACTGACCCTTTAAGCCTAAAGAGAAAAACGCATGATACAGAAACAAATATTCAACAGCAAGTTCACTCGATCACTTTCCTCTGAGAGACCCAAGATACGACCAACTGTTTCTAAAGTGCCACTTTTTATTCAGCAGTTTGAGGACTTGCGAATCTTTGGTACGTGTGATGTTTGGCTATCACTGTGACAACTTAATGCTGCAGTGCAGTGATCTGAAAGTGTGGTTGGTCAGAGATCTCTTGACGAGTGGGACACTTGTTTGAATGTTTTCTGTCCACCTCTGCAACCATCTTCTGTACCAATCTGCTGAAGCGTCAGGGTCTCCCTTTGCATGCAAATAGGCTTGACACAACTGCTAAAGCGAATGTATCCAAATAAATTAAAGTTCCCTCATCACAAAACTGAAGTTCACAACTTCATGAGAATATCTTCTGTCCACAGAGAAGTTTCTTATTTCATTTCCACTGTACAGTACATCCGTGCTCCTTACGTAATCCAATGGCAATAATCCACCTTGGTCCTCTCCATGAGTCGCTTCATCGTTATATCCCAAAACGATGCACCAATATTGTTTAAAAAATTAAAAGCTGTCAATCTGCACACAAGCAGCTCATGGAAGGGATGGCCAAACAGTGAGCGAGGCATATGGTGTGGGAGAATCACAAACAACAAATTTGTAATGTGAAGAGTAAGATCCAAAATCAATCCACTGCCAGTTCTTGAGCAGCTCTGGTGTTTTGGAAGATGTACGCAAACCTCCAGAGCAGCAGGAAGAAATGTGAGATACTTCTATGTTGCTCACAGCCATGTGAGTCTCTAAAACCTGCAACACATCTACTAAGTTTTTTTAAGGGTATGGATGGAGTTAATTCTGACTCAACTGAGGTTAGTTCCTCTCCTGCCTTTAGATTAGTACTGAAGGCCTAACAGATTGTCAGTTTGATTCCCTGCAACAAAGGGATAAGTAATAATCTCTAGGCCCTCTGCAGTCGGGGTACATTTGATCCCAGAACTTCTGCTACCGCAAAACAAGGTTGTGGTTAATTATAAATATGCATGTGCTGAGTGGAAGGGCTACATACACTGTGGCTGATTAAGAGCGTGAGTGTTCAGCAAAACTTCCTACAATAAGTAAAAAGAATAAAAAGAACTGCTCACAACCTGCAGACCTGACTAGAGCAGTTAAGACGTTTAAACCTTAGCTCTACCTCTACTATGAAAACAAAAAAACCCTAATGGGTTAAGATTTTTTTGTACCCATGTACAGACTTAGCATCCCTACAGCTGAACAGACCTGCACTCTTTCCTGGACAGAGGACTTGGATGGAGACTTGGGTAAGAAGCAGCTGTGTTGGCTTTAACGAGGCTACTTGGTGGCAGTATTCCCATCAGGCCTCATGCTGAAGGGCTCCAGGCGCTCGCTCTCAGGCAGCATGTTGTTGAGGCGCTCCATCAGCGGCACCGTCTGGTCGATGCCCATCTGGATGCGTCTCAGGATCATGGACATCTCGTTGACTTTCTGGATCTGCTCAGCGTACTTGGCGTAGCGTTTCTGGCGCTCCTGCATAATGCTGAACAAGGTTTCCACTGATAAGTCCATCTGGAAAGAAACAGGCGCGGGAGAGAGAAAGAGAGACAGTGTTTTTGCCTTTTCATGACACTTTGAATCATCTCAAAGTAAAACAGAGACAAAATATCTCAGATGATTTATAAAATTTTGCTTCACCACTAATAGATGAATATAATTTAAAACAGTAGAACCCGCTCAATGTATGGCACACACACAAGTCTGCCAATGTAACTGAGATTGAAACAGAAAATGTTGATCATTCTATTAATTATTTTATTTTTTCAATTAAGTATTAATTATTAATTTAGTCTGTAAGATTTTGTGAGATGTAACATTTCTATCTCAATTTGTGCTGCCAATGCGAAGTCGTCAAACTACTTGTTTTGCCCAACCACACATCAAAACACAAATATATCGGTAATATAATTGACAGTGATCCCAAGCTTGCATATTTGAACTGAAATGATGAATGATGAATAACATAAATAACATTTTATAAGTTCTAACAATAAAATGCTGTAATTTGATTTTCTGCTAATGGACTGATCACTTTTACTAGCAATACAATCTAAAATGGTTTTGGGGCTGAAAAATATGTAATCTAAAGGTCACATACTGCACTGTGGTATTCTTACCTCCTTGATCCTCTTGACCAGGGCGTTCTGGTCGAAGGCCACGGCCTCAGCACACTGGTGTAGGTGGTCCTGGTAGCGGACGCAGAGCTGCAGAACCTGGGTAGTATCCAGCCTTTCCAGACACACACTGCTGGGTGACGTCTGGCCACTCAGCACTCCTGTGGAGAGTGAAGAGCAAATGACTTACATGGATATTTTGGAAGAGAGTCACACTTGACAACAGTGTTACACTCGGTAATTATGGTAATTAGCTTTGCACAGGATCTGACAGAACTACCACTCCTGCTATTTTCGGAGTGAGCCTACACAGGAAACTTGACTCATTATCCACCTTCTCACACAGTGCTAATGGGTTGCGGTGATATTGGCTAATTAGAAAATCTACTGGTGGGGATTGGTTGAAAATTAGATGAAACTTTCAATATTTTCATGTGAAAACTGAAATAGTACAAGTCAAATACAATATCTGCACACTTATTCACACTTATTACTGATTCCTCACAATAAATCAAATTTAACTGAGCCACATTTGGACATCAACACTGCAGCGATCGTACATATTGAAATATTGTGAAATGATATTTAATCTATTGGAAGCTATCAGCAATGTGCATATATTGTCTGATTTCTGCATTCAGTTTGTTTTTAATCTAGGACCTGTAAGAGTTTTTAGATGTGTGCACTGTCTGAAACTGAATTGATATCTATTAGTCTAGTGCCCCTGATCAGTGTGGGTGGTTGAATACTATACATTTAGCTAGGTGTATCTAATGACCTGTCTGTCTTCATTAATGGGCTTTTAAAGGGAACATTGAAATCCATGTAAGTGACTGGAAGACTTAAAGTTACCTTTCAAAAGTGGCTGAAATGTAGGTATTTCTTGAAGCTTTATGACATCTGGGTCGTTGTGGATATTTCGCATTGACTGGGTCCCCTGGGCCACGACCACAATATCATCCATCTTCGCCTTCTGCTTTGCTGGAGAAGGCACCACTGCAATGACAACAATTCCAATAAAAAACAACAGATAGCACTTAAATATATGTTTCAAACCATGCAGGCAATAAATCATAGGATGTGTGACCCCAAATTAGAAAACAAGGAAACTTTCAGTTAAAACTTAAATCCAGCTGCACTTATTTCAATGAACATCCAACTTATCACAGAACATTTCCTCAAGTACTGTACTTAAATATGAGGATTATCCATTGTAAGTTACTTACCTATACTTAAACTCCACTACTTTTTTGAATTATGTGTTTGATACATGACAAATTCACTTATTTCAATGTTCAGAACTATATGAAGAAACCTATAACTCGATCCCAGTCACAACCTTAAAATGTTGATGTTAATTTGCAATAATAATTGTAACCCTAAATGTTTTTGTGGTTAATATCAGTAATATGAGTGTAATACTGGTACATGAGCATTTTTTCCATTGTGGGATATTGTTACTGTTACTTTAAATGGAGATCTGAGTACTTCTCCAATCTGGAAAACGATGCTTCTGTTGACACAGATAACTACTCTAACACAAGAATGCTAACGTAATATTGGTCTGCTTTCATGGAAAATACAGAATAGACAAGCCCACCATGTCAGGCGGTGTCACTCACCCGATGCGCTGTAGTCGGAGTGTTTGTGCTCCGCATCTCCACTCTGTTCGGCACCCATAGTGCTAACTAGCGGTTAGCTTTCAGTGTTGACCGTTTTCGGATATACTGTCCTCGCAGACTTCATATGACTTCCAAACACAGCCAAGCTAACGACGAGACAACCATGTCCGCAAGAAGGGAACTGAAAACCTGTTAACGGGTTAGTTAGCTCTGCAGTTTCACCCGAGTAATAGCTAGCTAAGTTAGCCGCGTAGCAATTGTTCCTGCTTTACGTTTACTAGCTGACAGACTACCAGGCGTCCTGAGTGCTATCTGAAGAGCAGGATGAAGCGGTAACACGTCGCTTTCTTACAGGAGTTAACCTATATTAACATCAATATAACATACTGGAGATGAGTACTGAGTTCACTCAGGGAACACTTCCGTAAATATTGATCACGGGGTTGTTCATGATTCAGACACCGCCCCCTACTGCCCCCTACTGCCCCCGAGGGCTAATGTTAACAAGAAATAACGTCAATAAACCTCTACATCTATAGCGTTACATAAAAAAAATATTAATAGCTAGGAACAGTTCTTGGACAAACTAACGTGGGCACTCAAACTATTAAATGGACTGTGGGATCATGGCCTTTAAATCGGTAAAACTTAAAAATGTCTGGTGCAATTGTGTCCCTGTGGCCAAAGAAGACCTTCAGAAGTAACACAGCAGAAACACACAATGTCTTCTGTAGATTTAATGTAACTTTAAATCTGGTAAGTTACGCCAAAAAGCATAACCTAAATACAAAATGATAAAAAAAAACAAGTTAGTAATACACTCAACATTCATCAGCTCTGAATAACACTGGACATCCTGAAGGATAAACAAGAACATTTTAGAAACCTGAACCAAGCTCTCTTTTAATGTTGTATTTGATATCTAACCTCTTAAATGTTGTAATCCATAAGAGCAGCATCGATGTATTTAAGGCCATCTTTGTGGGTCTTGTTATCGACCACATTTTCAAGGATTTTCACATGTAGGGGAATATAAACACAGAACCACATCCTCAACTGTCTCACTTATCCAGTCAAAGGCTAAATATATAGAAGCTTTACCTGTTAGGCCAGGAAACCACTCCCATGAATTACAAAATACTTTAGTAAAAGCCTCGACTGAACACAGAAATAATCATTCGGTGTTTAAGATCAACTTATTTATCTGTACACCTTGTCAAAAGATGAAAAACTGAGAACCACTAACATAGTCAATGAACAAAAGTGTAAGAGACACACATGCAGAGGGGCCATGCAGTTGATTCAATGCTACATGAATCCCGTCTTCTCCTTGTCTACTGGATTCCCATTGTCCTCTTCAAGCAGAGGGTAGGGTCGCAGGTCCAGGGTCAGGATGCGGCTGAACATGCATTCATCAAACTGTGAAGAAGAAAATACCATGGTGACACACTGCCATATAGAAAGACTTCCTCTCCAACTGGCAACATGTTTTAAAAGTTGATGCTGAGGTAGAAGTTGATGTAAAATGTTACATGTGAGTAAACTCCCAGCAAAGCGTCAGCCTTAGAGTAAAACTCCTCCTTCAGGGAGATGACAATGATCTGCATGTTGTCCCTGGATTCATCTCTGATGTAACTGGTCACCTGGATACAAACAAAACATCCACACAAGACACGCACTAATATAATCCATAGAAATTAGGTAATAGTCTAATAGTGCACAGCGGAACACACACAAACATTTAATTATTAAAAAAACATTTGGAAATTGAAGTGGTGCTAATTTCCCTGAAGTCGAATTATTATTACAGATTAGGGCTGCATCAGATAATTTGTCATCCGTCTCAATTAATATCTTAATTAAAAATATTTTTTATTAAAATAATTAAAAATAACAGTACTGATAAAATAAAGAGATTAAATATTTTTTATTAAAATAATTAAAAATAACAGTACTGTAGATATTAATAGTAAATCTGGGATGCTGCTGGAATCTTACCTTGCCAATGTTAGTGTTGTCCAGGGCAGCATCTACCTCGTCCAAGATGAGGAAGGGAGCAGGGCGGAAGCTGAGAGAAATGAAACAGAAACACCAGTGTGCCAAACAGTCCAGACACAGAGAGCCAGCAATGTGGGTCAAATGTCAGAGCCATCAGTCAAAAGAGGTAAGAAAGTCTTTAATTTAAGAAGGAACAATAGTTTCAGTACAAAAGAAAAAAGAAAAAAGCATGTATGGGGTTCAGGGAGATGTCATGTGTTGGTTTAGAAGAGAGTTCTTCACTTAAGTTGATAATGTGAAAGACAAGAGGATCAATAGGCTGTCCAAATTACATTCTTTATTTCAGTTTTCCATTCATCGGTTTAAAAACTCACAATCCTTAAAAGGAGAGTACCCCCAGTCATCTGCTGTAGTTTCTCAAAGATATTTCATGGTATGTCAACAGCTCTCTTATGCTGCAGCTCCTTTTTCATTTTTGTTATAGCTGTGGGGGGTTAATCTATCATTAAAGATGCATTATTATGTCTATTCTACTCATTATCCAGTGCAATTATTCAGGTGATTCGTTTAATCTTTTACACTCTTCCAGTTTCCCCTATCATAATCTGATGTATTGTAATATAATGTCATCTAGTCTGTCAGTGTTACCTGTGGATGGCAAACACCATGGCCAGGGCAGCGATGGCCTTTTCTCCTCCCGACAGATTGTCCATAGACATGTAGCGTTTCCCTGGCGCCACGCAGCTGTAGTTGATGCCGCCGAGGTACGGCTCGTCTGGATTCTCTGCGGTCAGAATGGCCTGGAACACATATAGCAGTCTGTCTTAATTTCATTTATTGGAGCTTGTCATTTAAGGAATCTTATTTTTATTTGTAACACATTCTGTAATGCCCAGTGCTAAAGAGAATGAATTATGTATAGTTTACACCGTAGGCTGAGTTACAGTGCCCTTCATGAGGAAACCACAGTGGGTTAGTTAAATGTATATACAGTATACACCAACTGTAAACTGTTTAATGTGCAGCAGCAAATCACCACCGAAGTGCACACAAACCCTGCTGGTTGGTTACTGGGTAAGTGTCAAGTAGTTAAGCAAATATGACTGTGACAGAAACATACTAAACTAGTATGTTTCTGTGGTTGCTTCACCTGGGCACTGCTGTTCCTGCACATTCTTTTATAGATCTCATTGATTACGACTGACACATGTTCAAAGCACTTGTTGAAGAGGTGGAGGCGCTGGGATTTGATTTGTTCAAACTCCTGATTGCATTTTCTGGCTGCTCGGGTGCTGGCATCAAAGGCTGAGTGAAGGACAGGAAACAAAGTTGATTCAGCAGTGCATGCACTTTAGTTATTATATTACAACTAAGTATTACTACAACATTAAACTACAGGTAGAAATCCAATATGTAAATGAAATGCTGAAGAATTTCAACATGAGGAAAAAGTCAACTTCTACACTGACACACAAATACAATCAACCTGCTTAGAGTTTCATTTTGAAATTAAAAACTTGATGGATACCCTAAACAACAAAATACCTTCTGTCACTCCCTGTAACTTGTACTTCACCTCCCTCATCTTCTCCAGAGCTTTCAGGTTGGGGGCAGTGGTGCAATGCAGTACTCCCTCTATAGAGGACAGTGACTCTTTCAGTCTCTCCAAGTAGGCTTCCATTTCCTCCTCTGCCTGTATACTCTATACACACACAAATTAACACGAATCTGAATTAACAGCACTAACAGAATATTAGGTAAAAGATGAGGCTTGATGTCTCACTCTGAATTCTGCCTCCAGGTCGGAGTAGTCGATGATAAGTTGTGCCTCTCTCTCGTAGATGTCCATGGTGGCTGAAGTGCTTTCAGATTCTGTGTCAATCTGCAGAGACCAGAAGAAAGAAAGTGCTTCAGGTTGTTTTCCTTACTAAAAAATGAATTAGGGTTTCTCAGTCTTTATTACTCTAATGTGAGGGTTTCTAGAGCTTCTAATATTACATTCTTTTTTTTTTCAAAATTATTATTTGAGCTTAAATAATATTCAGTACTTTTCCAAAACTGTGCAGGATTGGTGTTTGTCAAAACTCACTCCTTTATGTCCTACCTGCACCTCACTGATTTCATTCAGGTTTCCTGACAGCAGAGTGATGGGCAGACTCTGGATCTTGCAGGCCAACAGTAAGTTGTGTCTGGCCATGCGTTTCTGCTCCAAAGCTGCCTCTGCAGACGCCACCTTCTGCTGAAGTTTCACAAACTCTCTGAGAAAAAGAGAGACAGAAAATAGTGCACATCCAAACTTTTCAAACCAAAACTGAATCAATACTTTGATGGTTAGTTTCATGAAATACCAGAAAAAAACCCATACCAATGTCCTGTTTAAACCAGAAATCCATCATGTTACAGAGGCAAGATCCTATTAAGTGCTGTTTTCTTGAGACATCAAGGTACTCAAACACTCACAACAGATCATAATTTAGAGAGTTGTTTACCTAATGATTTTACAAATACTACTGATGAAAACAACCAAATTGAAAACATTAATACCATAGTTTTTGTTATCTACTGTTGATATGTGAATTAAGAGTCAATCAATTTAGCAGTCAGTATGTTACCATGTTTTGTTGAGGTTACCCTTTTTTTCACATTTAGAGCACAGACTTTATCTTAAAGTTTACAACAAATAACTGGCTGTTGGATACAACTTCAAGCAGTTTGTAGAGAGGATCTTTCTATAACAGCTGCAGTACTAACTGTAGCAGCAAGTAGTGGCAGTGATGGCAGGAATAATAGCACTACACCACAGCAACAGTAGCAAATGAACTGGAGTATTAGTGGTGGTCTTACTTGTTTATTTCTTGGACGCTCTGAATTTCCTGGTCCAGCTCAGCTTTGGCAGCAGTCACCTGGCTCTTCTTAGACAGCAGCTGGTTGTTCAACTCCAACAGTTTGTTCTGACTCTCCTCCACTGCCTCCAGCAGATTCTCCTCCTCCTGAAGGGGAATGGAAACATCAGGCCAGAAAAGTCTGCAATCGCTGACAGGTTTAATATCACATCATCTACAGTGTCCAGAATTAGCCCTAAATACAGATTTGTTCTTTAATCACATACATATTTGCCATGTTTGTTAACAGTAACTAAACCTGTCATTCTGGACACATTTTACCCATATTACAGGAGCCACTTTGATGGCTGTGAACTATATCAGCAATATCACAGAATGAATGCCTGAGCTGGCTACCTTCTTCTGCACAGCAATGATTTTCTCCTCCTTGTCAATGGTTTCCTCCATTTTGCAGAGCTTCCTTTTCTGCTGCTCCACTTGGTTTTGTTCGTACTCCAGATTTGCATTCAAGTGAGCGCACTGACTCTCAAACTCCAGCCTAAAAGGAGTCATATCATGGTGTTTATGTTATGAAATACCTGAAAACATGCATACAAACACCATTATTGTAGTACATGTACACATTACACACCAGTCTAGAATTTCATAAAAGAAAGATGCAAGTCTGTAAATATAAGCAGTAAAAGTAATTTTTGCCAATTTGCTAAACAGTGAAAAAAGGAATTTACACTACTCATAAAAACTTAGGGATATTCAGCTTTCGGAGGAAATTTCAGAATGTATATAAAATGCACTATAACCTTTCCAGGTGATCTTAATTTGACCTTCGCTAAACTTTTGAATGCATATGTCCAACTGTTCAATGTCTCAGTACTTATTGCGTAACATGCTGTTCTTCAGGTTCAATGACAGTTTGTATTTAAACAAACCAAGACGACACCTAACAATCGATCAACAGTCCCTGGCCAGTGCGAGGCTTCAAACGGGATGTACTCAGAGGGAGGTTTCCACTGAGCTTAGAGTGTCACAGAGTGTCATCAGCAGGTGGCAAGAAGTCCACTTGTTAACAGCATGAGACGCTTGTCGAGCTGTAATCGATGCTGAAGGACAAATGACATTTTACTGACACAGTGACATTTTTTGTTGTGGTATAGCCGCCACTATTGTTAGCTTTTTGTTTAAATAAATTGCTTGAGATGAAGAAATTACCATTGCATGCTTCTACTTAAATGTCCTACTTTCATGATATAATATCACTGTAGCATTAACTTTTTACATTTTCCATAAATTTCACCCAAAAGTCGAATATCCCTAACTTTTTTTGAGTAGTGTATGTTCATTTTAACTACATTATAGCTAAAGGTATAACTTTATTACAATAAACACTAAGACATTAATAAATAAATTAATATAACATTTATAATAGAAAACTAACAAAGAATTCAAAATAAAATAAAACAATAGATCCCTTTGGACACCGTTCCAATATTTTCAATCGTCACTTCTTGTGTTTTTCTAAAATCATAACAGTGGACAGCCATTCTCCTTTACACTCCAAGATAATTTGGCTGGTTATGTTTAGTACATATGGTACTGAAGATAGTGGTGTGTGTTGTCGTACCGCTTCTTGTCAAGCTCTGTTTGCTGTTTGAGGTGCTCCTGCTCATACTCTCTGATGCTGTCCACACCAATCTCAGCACAGAAGTCAGAAAACACCAAGTCCTCCATCTAAATAGACAGAGCATCTACACTGTTAAGTATATGCGACCAGTCATTTAGAAGTCTGTCTACTGGGAGCTTTACCAGATGTCATCAAATACTTAGAACTTTAATAATTAGCTTTTTGGAACCCATTGGCCATGATAGCCTGTTGGTCCCACCTTATGCCATGCAATATAGCACCAACAATGATAAAGATATACCAATCAGGTTTTACTTAGTTCAATTAAAAAAATTTAACTGAAAAAACAAAACTGAAATAGTAATGAAAGTACAGCAAAAGCTGAAAATGTCACTCAGCATGAGGGTCAAAGTTGCAGTCAGTGTGCTGAAACTGGTTGAAGACGGTGTGAAGACAGCAGTACCTGGTCGATCTGGTCTCTTATCTTCCTCATCTCTGCATCCTTCACCTCCACACTCTCCTGCTGCATCTGGATCTGAGAGTCCAGGTTTGCTAATTCACTCTCCATACGAGAAATCTCCTAAAAAAAATCAGATAAGACAGAGTAAATACTGTGAACTGTCGATTCGTCTCTGCTACAGTAACCATGACACAATATATCCCTGTGTGTCTAATATGCTTTGGGATTCAACTGACTAGGGTTGGGGACTGAAATTCTTTTCCAAGTTGGAACAAAATACAGAATGCCAATAATCAGGTAGCCATAAAAAAAATTATTTTGGTTCTTCTTATTGGTTCCTGAATGAAACACAACGCAACAGTGTGCCATTTTCCTGTATGGTGATTAGCTGTGGGGTGGGAGCTAATAGAGAGGAGTGGAGGTGGGCAACTGGTTCAGAGTACTCAGGGTAGCAAGTGAGCAAAAGAAGAGACATGTAATGACAAGACATTTTACTGAGTAAATCCAAGGGACATGAGATTATTTTATGTGTGAATACAAATTTGTTTATTTTGTAGCATTCTTTTATTTATTATTTTAGTATTTGAGTGTTGGTTTTCGTCGTCTGTGTCTTTTTCGCGGATTACATAATAAACTACTCTTATTGGCTTCGTGTTTGCAGGGCGTGGTGAGTGTGCGGCTGTCCATCACTGTTGAGCAGGAGTTCAGCCCTGCCTAAGGCAGTGTTTCACCACGAGCGGGGCTGAGCTTAGACAGACAGTGGAGAGAGTTGAAAATTATTTTGTTATAAATATAACCTGGCATATTTCTGGTATAAACATTACCACAGTGAAGTCACAAAAATAAGGGAGGCACAGAAAACACCATACACAAAATGTAATATAACATAATAAACATATAAACATTCCTTTTTTTCATCCATATTGAAATAAATATTGGAATGTATGTACTCTGATTTACATGTACACATACAATATAGCCATGTTAAAGAATATTATCATGATATTCATTGTGAGAAAGTCATAGCTCTGTGGCCCTACCGCTTGGCATTTAAGGATGTTTTTCTTGCGAAGGTTTTCCAGCTCAGTTTTGGAGTATTTGAGGCGGGTCTTTGCACCCTGACCCTGAGCAATGATCTGACTCAGGTCAGCCTCCTTTCGCTTCAGCCTCATCAAATCCTGTCACATGACCAAAACACAGAGTGAAAGTTAATTGAGAATAAATTGTTTAACCCTAAATAGTAATTTTAGTATGTATATGACGAGACATAATGTATGTCAAAAACACAATTAAAGCAACGTTTTGTGTAAACAGGGCAAGAAATTCACAAATAGAATAAAAAAATAAAACCCTTTGCTTTGGTCAAGACTTTTACAGCTATGAAGTTTACATTGTGAGATTTTCTGAAATATTTGACAAGTTGTGTGTTCACTCACGCGCAACTCTGCTGTCAGCTGGTCCTTGCGTTCCTTTAGCCGCTTCATGTCCTTCTCGTCCCAGCAACGAGCTTTGGTCCGCAGGTCACTGGAGCCTCCAGAGATCACACCTGACTTTGAAAACAGCGTCCCGTCCAGGGATACTGTCTATAGAAAACACATCTCATTACATGTCTGCTGGCAGTAAAAGCCGCCATGTCAGTAAGTTCACAACTGTAGGTGGTAATACTAGAGGGGCCTGTCTTTGTGTACTATGTAGATTTGATTTATAGTGTTCCTTCTTTTAGGTGACATTTTTTGTTACAGTTTGGATTTTTACCTCAAACATTCAAACTCATTTCAGTCAGTGACTTACTTTCCCTGAATGATAAAAACTTTTGACACATTCTCCTAGCAATCAAATTTCTCATTTCAATTTACTGTCATGTATAACTAATGATGCAGGCTCTGTAAGATGGCAAGACAAACACAGAATGACTGAACAAAAAAAACCCAAAAAACATACAACTGATCTTGGCTCCAATGTCTGTGGACGAGGGCCAGGTTTACCTTAATGCGCGGCTGCCTGTCGAACGCCATACTCCTCGCTTCTTTGAGGGTCTCACACACCAAGGCATTGCCACAGACAAACTGCACCACTTTCCTCAGCTGAGCAGCACCTGGGCCACTGTTAACTTGAACAACATCTACCACCATCTTGGCAGCGGGCAACTCCCTCAGTCGCTCATTCAAAGGACTCACCTGGGCACACAGTAGTAATGGTTATCACTGACACAATTTCACCTTCTTTTTCATTCTGCATTTCAACCATCCAAAAAAAGGCATGGCTTCCTTTAATTTCATCTCACATCCAAGTAGTTGATGGGCAGGAAGGTCTCGCGGTCAGCTCGTTCCTCCTTGATGAAACAGATACAGTCGCGGGCCACCTTCTCCGTGGCTACTACAATGGCGTTCATGTAGGGACCAAACACCTTGATAACAGCCAGCTGGTACTTCTTATGGATGGGGCTGCAGAGGTCACACAGACGACCGTACTGGGACAGGAAAGAAAAAGCAATTAAAAGAAAATGCCCCCAAGCTTTTGCCTTCTAAAAAATTACAAAAAATTATATTTCTCGCTAAAGATGCAGCCATACATTATGAGCAGCACATAAATATCCCTCAATAAGGCCAAAATATATCAGAGAAGAGTTATCTTAGTTCAGTTTGTTCTTTTTAGCACAGTAGGCTGACGGCCGCCAAGTGACATTTAGATAGCCTGTTTGGCTGTAATGTTTTTTGTTTTGCCAAAAAAATAGTCTCTTGCCCGTCACTGCACTTGAGTCTTTAATGCATTCTTACAGTTATCCCTTATTATTATGCCTCTCTGTCTCTTACCACAGTTTCAGGGTAGAGTCTGCAGAGCTTCTCTAGCATTTCTTTGCGCTGCAGCTGGCTTCTGCTCTCCTGGCTGTCCAGACGGGCGTCCCCCAGCTCCTCTAGCACCTGGCCCAGCTCCTGGTTCACCTCCTGGCTGCGCTGGCGGCCCCGCTGCAGCTCTGCACTCAAGCTCTCCTCCCGCTGACAGCATTCTTCAAGGGTTGAGCTGACACATACATTAACTTCTCAGTTTCCTTTTGTTATGTTACATCCTGATAGTATACACTATGTCACTGATAAATAACAATGGAGTTCAATCAACATTTCCCTGACAGTCAGGGCTTTTACTGGCTGGCATTACATTGTAAAGTCAGGTGGAAGGTGTGCACATGACATACTTGCATTTCTTGGTGTACTCCTCTAGCTTCTCTGCTCTGCTTATCAAATCTTCCAGCTGAGCCTGACAGTTCCTGACGGCAGCCTAAAACAGATCATGTTTCAGGAGCCCTAACTGTATCTAATATCTGATATTTTTACAATCAAAATATATCAAATGATAATGTAGCAGCTCTTCAATCCATGGTCATTCACTAAAAAGACGTACAGTGGAAGCAAAAAATGCGCCACTGACAGTACCTCCACTTCGATCTTTCTGCGCTGGTCGAAAGAAATCTTCTCATAGTCGGTTCTCACCCCCCAGTGCAGTTTCTCTGCCTGCTGGCTAAGGACGGCCCCCTGTTTTCGGGCCAGCTCCTTCAGCTCTTTGTATCGCTCCAGCTGAAGCAGAAATAAGATGCAAAAACATGCTGACGGTGCTTTTTGTCCCTGTGATTTAGACGTATCTGCAGTTAGGTAATATGGTTGTTAATAATAATTAACCAAAATTAGCATAAACATTGACTTTTACTGTTGTGTACAATGATGTGTACAATTTTGCCTCAGCTAAGTACATATTCACTTGCAAGCATAGGAGGATTAAATTCAACCTATTAAGAGAATATTCAGAGTTTGTATTCAAGATATAACATTTTACATTGGATTGGGTTCAGACTGGATAATCTAAATCTAAAGTGTGGCCTAAACAAAGTGACCGATCAGAGTAGCTCTGCCAAGGAGCTTTCCAAGATACCTTGCCTTTCGATTAAATTTGTTTACGACAGTGTTTACACAGCTTTTCACTCACACTTTGTGTGATTTAATGTTTCACCTGCCAATGTATAACTGACTGCTTTTTGAAAAGAAAAATAGTACATACATACATAAATTGATGTACTACAGTGCATGTGTGTCACATATTGTTGACCCTGACATACACTCCACTGGATTTATTATGTTTAGAATATGTGCTGCACAAAACAAATACCTGTGTGCCCTGTGCCTCCAAACTCCCAGCAGCTATATTTTACATCATGTTAACTGACATTTGTTTTGTCTGAACAGGAAAGAGGGTGGCACTGTTTGACACACACTCACCTGATCCTCATCCAGTTGGATGTCTCTCCCCCGGGAGGCACCCTTCTCCTGTACCTGCTTTTCAAAGCTTCTCCAGGTTCTCTCTAGCTCAGCGATCTCTCGCTGTCCCTCTGCCAGCTCCTGCTGTTTAATAGCCATCAGCTTCTGATTCTTCTTCAGAGCATTACGGACCTCCTCAGCCTTCTTCATGTGATGGGAGGTGTTTACCTTGGCTTTGATGTACTGGGTCTGACACTGGGACTGCATATGCTCGTGGGCACTGATTGACAGAGCAAAAGGAGGCCTAGTTTATTATTTTTAGTTTAGTATTATCTGATATATATGATATTCTGATGTGAAAAGCAAATATGTGCTTCACTTTACATAAAAACTGCCCCTAAAAACTAAACACACACTCACCGGATTTCCTTCTCTATTTGCTGCTTCTCTCTAGTGAGGCGTCCATGTTCCTTCTTGTTGGTTTTGACCGTCTGCTCCCCTTTCACTAGTTTATGGTTCTGGACAGTTGCTGCCTGTTGTTTCTCCCTCAGGGTGTCTCTGAGGGTGCTGATGCTCTTTTCATTATAGTAGAGCTCAGCCAGGCTCAGCTTCAGGCGCTTTTGGTGAAGGTCATCCACTAGCACCTGGTACCTCTGGGCCTGGACAAAGGGGAGGTGGGAGGGGACCCGTCAATCAATGGACAGGAAAGCTTAAGACAAACAAAGGCAACTAAACTACAGTCCAGTTGATGCTAAACAGACTATGATGCCTATGATTGCTGTAAGCACACACATCAGTCATTTAGGACACAATAGACTTACACCCTAGATTAAATGCAAATGCTTAAAGGTCCATTAAGGGAAGCAAAGAGCAAAGTCTCTAAAAATGATGATGTGGATTTCCAGTGTAGCTGTCACAGCATGCAGTAAGCTATGGTTTAGCCGGCTCTTTTTGAATGACTTTACCTCTACTTTTTCCTGAGACACCTGTTTCCTCTCGACAATAGCAGATTTCTTCTTGTTGAAGTGAAATTGTGTGTCCTCTTTGGCATTCAGCAGGGCCTTTTTTTTCACCTCATACTCTACAGCATACTCTTTCGACTGACAAATGCACTCCAACATCTTGGTCCTCTCTTTTGGGTCGTTCAAAGCTATGGACTCCACTGCCCCCTGGTGACGACCGTAATGAGTGACAGAGTTGTTTGTAAAGCATTATTACTACTACCAGACATTGCAATTGCTCAACAATGCACTGCAGGACAGGATGTGTTTGTATGTTTTAGCGCCCATATCAAGAGTGGGGTTTTTTTTTTATTACGTACTGAGCAATTTACATTCATTTAGCTACAAACGTCTCCACAGCATGAAAATTGTCTCAGAAGAAAAACATAAATCTATACATGTGATCTTAGTATCTAACACACATTTCCACAAATATTCTAAACTACAGTATATTATCATGTGTATCTACACAAATTTTTATGACAGTGTTTACCTGGTACACCAGACAGTTTCGAGCTTTGGTCACAATGCCAATCTTCTCCAGCTCCTCCATGTATTTGGCCAGAGTAACATGTATACCATTGATGCGATACTCAGAGTTGTCACCTATAAAACACAATGAATGTGTGATGTGACAGCAGCAACTTGTTTCTAACTTGTGCACTTGTTTCTGCTTGATACTACTAGGGGAAAATATGTTTTTCTATCTTTTTCAACTGTGTGTAGAATTAAAAAAAGCTATTTAACTGAATCGTACAACCTTTAAGTTGCATAAGTTTTTATATTCTTTTCCAGGCCTCCTTTATTAGACTACTGCAAACAAACTAAAGTACAAGCACCTGTGTCATTGCTTAATCATTATGATTATAGTACTATGAGTAACAGTTATGGAAGTCATCAGCAACCTGTGGCACCAGCTGTGTGCAAGTTCAAACTAGTTATAACGTAAATTATTACCAAGTTGTGACTTATGCTTAAATAAATTGATGTACTAACATAAAAATGGTTGCATCACAGATATAAGTTACAACTTAAAGTTAAGTAACAACTAAGTTAAATAGTTACACATGTCCCTAAAGTAGTGCAAATCATAAAATGTCACAGAATTAAACAGTTTTTTTGCCACACGTCATTTTTTCCTTAACTGCAGCCAATTTGCGACACATTAATCGAGTAGAGACCCAATTTATTAATATGATATTTCATTATCAATCTATCCAAGTGGCTCATGCCATCCAGAAAGCTAATGCGCGGTAACCATGGTGATGAAACAATATCTTTGATTGGCCACTTTCCTTAGTTATGACTTTATTTCCATAAAGTAATGCTCAGAGTGCAACCAATTTTAGTAACGTTAAGTGATTTAGTTATAAACTAGTACTAACTAAGCCTCTAGAGTGGACTTTACACCGTAGCTGAGGAGAGAACTTACACATAGCTAGTGCAACCCAGTCCAGGGCCACAACTCATTAAACTAACCTAAAATGCTCCGACAGAAGACGGTCTCCTGGTCGTCGTCGTCGCAGTACCGCATGGAGACGCGGGAGGTGTCCTGCACCGGCTGCCCGATGTGGGCTCCGTGTATCAGGTCCCGGAGGCGCTTCACCCGGAGACTGGCAACCCGCTCCCCAACGGCAAAGCTCACGGCATCCATTAAATTGGACTTACCTAGTGTGATTTTACATCTTCAGCATAAATCTGAACAACTCTCTGATTAAAGACATTGCCTTTAACATTTATCTAGCGTTGTAACATCAACATTGACCTTAATTATTAACCCATTCCCCAAGATATAATATTTGAGATAATAATAATATTGTGTTGTGGTTTCAATTAACTCAAACAATATATTCAGTAATATAACTTATATATATAGTTCGTATTAAAAAGAGGGATGCGCAGAAATGTATTGACCTCAGTTAGCTAACATTAACATTTGCCGGACAATGCTAAGGTTAGCTTAATATTAATTCAGCTGCACTAGCTAGTAGCTTTTTGCAGCTAACATTAGCTCCCTAGAGAGATTTGAAAGTTGACTTAAAAGTTTACTTACCGGAGCCATTTGTGCCAATTACACAATTAAATCGCAGGAACGGACCGATGACCTGTTTCCCTCGCCATGACTTAAAGTTTTCAATGTCAATCTGTTTCAGATACCCCATTTTAATCTGCTATGGTGAGTCAAGAAACTTCATGCTTCAGAAGGAGTTATGTTAACTTCAGTGGACAGGATGTTGAGAGGCGGGAAGCGACACAACTTTTTTTTTTCATCTGTTTAAGCACAAAATACTTTTCACTTCAGTCTAGATAATATGTGCCAAATTTGGGTTGTTTACTTTTTCATAAAAGCATTAAACTCGGTACACATGTACAGTTTGGGGCGCTGAATATGGGATATTATTGATTTTTCCAATAAAAACTTCCATAACAGAACATTTTGAGAAATGCACCCATGGCAAAAACATTAATTTTACTATTCCACCAACCAAAATGTGTATTAAGCAGCAAATCTCCTAAACCGAACTCAAACTAGTACATGCAGCGAGTAACTACTGATTTAATATCTGAAATCAAATATCTCAAACTTTCACATGGAATATTTAAATAATAAAACATATTTTTAAAGTTTTAACACAATTTAATGGAGTAATAATTTAGAAATAAAAAATAGTTACAACCCAAGTCAAGTATATCTTACAGTTTTATCTACTTGAGACTTTACTTGATACAAGTAGAGAAATACTGTGTTAAAGTCAAATGTCGTTTATGACTCAGGTGCCCATCTTCCCTGTCACAACCCCTTAACACACAGGTTGATCTGATGTAAAACAATCGAACCCAGACGGACAAAAGGAGAGCTGAAACACAGGCAAACTAGGTATTGAAGAATTTATTGATCAGTACTGATAAGTCAAATGTCACATATCAGCACAGACTGATGAGAAAGTAGTTCTGCAAATTAAAAGCAGAGCGAACTGCTTTCAAAGTTTATCCTCCTTCCACGGTTATAGCCATCAATAAGGGTGGTCACGGACGTACTCCATGAGGTGTTTCAGAGCCAGCCAGGTCTCGGAGGCGGTGGGGATGATCTGATTGGCTGGCAGGATAAAACCATAGCGACCAGTGTCCCTCAGCTCAAAGGCATAGGAGTACTTGATGCCTACGTTGTAAGACCAGTCAATGCTGCCACCACTGGCTTGATCTGAGTGGAGAGGAAGAGGTGAGCACACCTAGAAGTAGCAGCTCTACCTACCGGGGCTTTTTGAGACAGAGTTACAGAATTTAACACATCAAATGAAAAAAAAGTTTCATAATGACTCCTTTAACTGGAGTAATGATCAAAATATATAGCGAGTGGGACATTTTACAGTTAAAATAAACTCGTCTTTGGCACATCTGACCTCTGATTTATTGTTACTTATTGGTCCACATATATGCAGATACCAATATACCATATCTACAATAATAAAGCAGCACTGTAAAGCACTTTGAGCTTTACAGAGGGCCACAGGTCAGATTCAAACCTGGGCCGCTGCAGCAACTCTGTATATGGGTCACCAGCTTTACCGACTGAGCTAACAGGACACCTTTTTTAAGGTAATTTATTTATTGTGCCCACTACATTCACTTTATTTTGGTCTTCATAGTTGTATCAGTTACTTTTATCATAACTACAACATTCATACAGTTTGTCATGTGTGAAACTTTGGGGTGACAAAAAGAAAAAAAGATACTCACAGATGATGTTACAGATGCTTCCAACCTTGTATCTGGTACCATAGAGGGAAGTGAGTTTCTGCACTGCTGCTCTGCCAACAGAGTCCTATAGGGAACACAAATACTGTTAGGTACAGTGCACATATAATACTGGTGCAGAAGGGGAAATGCAGAGGAGTGCTTTTTAAGGTTTCCACTCGAAAAGTGCACAGATAAAATGGAAATAAATATGGAGAGGGGTTGGTGAATAACCCAGCAACTTTCAAGGACCTACACTTCCTCTTGCAGAGTTACAAGTCAAGCCAATTTTATTTATATAGCCCAAAACCACAAAAGCTTAGAAGGCTTTGTTACAAATGAGTAACTACAGGACTGTTGTCCATTAGGCAGTTTCTCAGTGTTAATATGAATAATTGTATAAACTTGAGGCGATATTTCTGAAGAGGATTCCTGGTTAAGTTAAGGGAGATAATTTGTCATGTGCAGTAGTGATGCGTTTTTAATTGGTTAACTCTTAAATCCTGGACCAAATGTTTTGAATTTTCAGCCATGAAACTTTAATTTGATAATAAATTTCAATCCCAAGTTTTCCAGCTAAGGTTGTTAAAGTAGTCTGCAATCAAAAGGCAAGATATTGCTTTTTTAATCATTGATGTTTTTGGAGAAGGCATTTCAAATCAGGTTATAATAGTTAAATCATTCGTCTTCCTGAGAATCCAGACATTTATAAAGAGAAAATGTAGCTGCTCTCATTTGACTCTTGTGTGTGAGAACTACTTTGCAATCAGAGTTTCATGAAACAGTGGGAAAAGGTGTCAGATTCAATTTGCCCTGTGCTTCCTCACAATTGACCAATTTTTTGACTTTCTTACCAGCTCAGGCTGATGGGGCACGTTCCTGCAGGAATAGCCATAGGGGTACATGAGCAGCTGGGAGTAGGCGTGGACAGAGATGAAGGACTTGAAGTTGCCGTGGCTCTTGATAAGGTTCACCACGTTCTTCACCTCAATCTCAGAGTGAGCAGAGGGGCCGTGGTAGGAATCAGAGCAGGGGTTTTTACTGGCTCCGGGGCCTGGAGAGAGACATTAAAATAAAAACATGTGTGACACACAATGGACATACATACTTGCATACAGTACAGTGCAACATACATACATGATTGCATATGCATACACACAAACAAGGGGGCATGTAACAACAGGCAAAGACCCAAAAACTGTGTAAAACTGAGGCGTTGATGTTACCCTCAAATAAATTACAATTGGTTATTGTGTAAAATGTCTCCCCGTTTGATATAGAGCAAAAACTAAGTTCATGAGAAGCATTTATGTCTCTTCTATACTGACCACCAAAGCCTGCATCCCAGTTCCTATTGGGATCGACTCCACGGCACACTGAGCCTGGGTTCTTGGAGCGGGTCTTACGCCACATACGGTCCTGCACATCACACAGTTTCAGTCAGTCAAGTACTTGACTGCAACATCATTCTCTTTCCTCTTTCGACCCACAATATGGTTCAGATACCTGGTCTTGAACAGCATTTTACACCGGCTCATGTCGTGTTTTCCTCTTAAATATCCACCTTACATGGATCAAAGTAATGTGTATTGGTACACACAGCACAGAAATACAATTGACAACTATAGTAAAACAGTAAATAAGAGCAAAGATGTAGCAGATTTTACAAGTCCAACATGTTTTCATTGAATAGCAACATACATTAGAGTGGGTGTAAGCGTAGCCGTCAGGGTTGGCCAGGATCAGCATGTAAATATCCATGGTGTTCAGAAGAGAAGTCAGGGAGGCGTCGGAACCATAATCAGTGGCAATCTAAGCAAGAACACAAGGCATTGATTTAGTAGAAATTACACTCTTAAAAAAAAAAAAAGCAATCTTTCATATATATAAATATTTAATAGTTGGTCCAGAGTTAACAATGTCTGCAAAAATAGAGGACAGAGAGACTTAATTGTTATCTTTATGTATATTATTAAGATTATTTATATGAAAGGAAGGTTGTGAGGCTCAATGCACGTAGGCAATAAATGTAACACAAGAACAATTAAACACAATTCAGAAATAGGAATAGTAGATTGATTATCATACAGTATGAGATTTTTGTGGAAAAAAGTTTGGCATTAATTGATTAATCAGTTGTCAAAAAAAAACATCTTCTGTTAATCGACTAATCATTTCAGCTCTATTTATCATACTGAGACTTTCCAATTAACCTCTGTGATCTTTTCTTCTAACCTCTGGAGCAGAACTAACACATTTAAATTCAGTAAATCAGATGACTCAATCTCCCAGGTATGTTGTACCTTGTTGGCTGTCCACACTCCGGTGGCCTGAGACACCCATTCTCTGGAGTGGATACCTGTGTCGATCCAGATAGCAGGACGGTTTGCTCCCCCAGTGCTGAACTAAACACAGAGTGAATAAGAAAACTCATGCTGTTATAAAATAGAGTTTAGGTGTGATGCAGTCCAACAGTGCAGACAAAAGGTTTTATCTATCCTTTAAAGGTACCTTCCAATGGGACATTTTCAGTTGTTAATGTAAAAAATCAGAATCAGAATCAGAATCAGAAATACTTTAATAATCCCAGGGGGAAATTATTTAAATACACATTTATGAACCTCTACTGTACATTTACATTTCAAATCCAGACTGAAAACAACTTTTTTCCTAATTTCAGTGGCTGGAAATTACTGACTGTTGTGTTTTGTGTCACATAGCTACCCCCATCTGGTCATGTGATCTCAGTTTTTTAAAAATTACTAAACCATGTAATAATTTTCAACATTATTATCTGTGTATGTATGTACGTGTGTGAGTTTGTGGGTAAGTGGGTTAATTATTATTATTTTTTTTTATTAATTTTGTTTTTTTCTGTTTATTATTGATTTGTAAAGTGTACAGACAAGCTCTAGGTGATGTTCAACTGAAGTTCCCTGCTACATCAGTCCGGAGCACACACATTTCTTACAGAAACACAGTTGTGCACATGCAGTACATGCAGGTACAAACATGTTGTTGTCTTGCATGAGGTATGTCCTACCTTGAGCACATACATGGGCCTGTTCTCATATGATCTCCCAATTTCCTGCTTGGTGACCAGTTTAGGATGCTGAGCTACCAGAGTGTCCATCCAGCTGTAGATCTGTATGAGAGGTAAGTCACACATTATAATACAGTGAAGTGTGGCATGTCTGATACTGAACAGAAATACTTAAGTTACACTTTGTTGATTAATAAACAAGTAATTAACTAGTTCAAGAAGGTCCTGTATTTACAGAAGGTCTTTGGTTTATTTCTGTGCCACAATGTATGAGTTACCTTGATGATCTGACATCAAGCTCAGCACAAAACAAATATATTTCATATTCAATACCATTTGTGTAAAGTATTCAGATCTGTTACTGAAGTAGCAATACCACTGTCC